CTCAGTTGGACCTGGAGTTTTGCTATTATGGAGGGAAGTTGAGAGGGTTCAAGTGCAAGCTCTCAAAGCACCCACATGGGTTCATCAAAGAGACTTTTTTTTTCCATTGCTGCCCAAGTGCTTGTGCCCTTCCTGATGTCTGGGTATGGTATGGTGGCAGCTGGACTGCTGATGGACATATTCCAAGTGAGTAAAAAAACAAAGGTAGCTGTAGCTACTGAATTATACATTGCATTCATAGTTTTAAGGTGTCCTTATGTCAGCATGATACAAGAATCACTTGCAAAAATTGGGTAATGTCAGTGGACATCAATGGGGCATTTTGCCAAATGTGATAATTGATCATTGAAGGTACCAAAAAGACTTCAAACTGGAAACATTATTATATAATAATTTTCTAAAAACGTTTACTTTGATTATATTCATCGGTCCATGATAGTCTTTGTCACCCAAATTTCTATGTATTGGTAGAACTCAGGGTCAGATCTAGTCTATCTCATCTGGGGGAGCAATATAAAAAGTCAGAGGGCATAATGTCAATAGTGTGACAGAGATTCAGGGAACCAGTATTCCCTGTTCACTAAGTGCACTTCTGTAGCACGAGTTACAGCCTGGAAATAATGTCTGACAGGTAGACGGATAGACAGAACCTGAGCTTCCTTATATCAAGAATCCCTGCCAGAGTCCCCCTTACCTAAGGTGTCCCCATCAGAGTGCCCCCCCTTGGACCAAGTGTCCCCATAAGATTGTCCCCTTGCATCTAATAGAGTACCTCCTTACATCAACTGTCCACATCAGAGTGTCCCCTTACATCACCTGCTCTATCTGAATACCCCCTTATATCAACTGTTCCCATTAGAGCCCCCCTTACATCAATTGTCCCCATCAGAGTGTCCCCTTACATCAATTGTCCCCATCAGAGTGCCCCCTTACATCAATTGTCCCCATCAGAGTGCCCCCTTACATCAATTGTCCCCATAAGAGTGTCTTCTTACATCAATTGTCCCCATCAGAGTGCCCCCTTACATCAATTGCTCCCATCAGAGTGCCCACGTCCGATACATTTTCCCCTTCTGAGTCCCCCTTTACTTCAGTTGTCCCCATCAGAGTGTCCTCTTAGATCAATTGTACCCATCAGAGTGCTCCCTCACATCAATTGTACCCATCAGTGTGCCCCCTTAGATTAATTTTACCCATCAGAGTGCCCACTTACAATACATTTTCCCCTTCAGAGTGCCCCATTACATCAATTGTCATCATCCGAGTGCCCCCTTACGTCAATTATCCCCATTAGAATGTCACTTTACATCAAGCGTCCCCATCAGAGTGCCCCCTTACATTAATTTTTCCCATCAGAGTGCCCCCTTAAATGATTTGTACCCTTCAGAGTTCCTCCTCACATCAATTGTAGTGACCCCCCATCAGAGTGCCCACTTACAATACATTTACCCCATCATACTGCTCCCTTACATCAATTGTTTCCATCAGAATGCCCCCTTACATCAACTGTTCCCATCAGAGTGCCCCCTTATGTCAATTATCCCCATTAGAGTGCCCCCTTACGGCAAGTGTCCCTATCAGAATGCCCCCTTTCAACAATTTTCCCCATCAGAGTGCCCCTTACATCAATTTTCCCTATCGAGTGCCTCATGGATCAGTAAATGCACACTTAGAGACCTGGGGGTCATTAAAACTGAAGGGGGGGGCACCCCAGCATTCTTTTAGATCCGGGCCTGGTAGAACTTACAATCAGGGACTACAAATGATTACACGTGGAATTATGTTAGTCAACCAAAAAAATACCAACATGTATAAAATTATTGATGGTTCATTGGTTTCCAATATAAATGTAAAGTGACTGCCCTCTCTATACCACCAATCACTAACCTTCACCTGACCCTTGGGCTTACTGTAAACTGGTTATATACTAGTAGAAATTCATTTGAAATTGCGCATGAAATGTTCTTTCATGTTCCTTCGACAAAAGTGGATCAAAGATTGACACCTATTGAGCTGGGACTGCTGCACACTGATCCGGATATAGCCATCCCCTACTGAACCGATCAATGTATGGCCAGTTTTAATTCACCATCCAAAATAAATCATCTTTCTTCATAAATCTTGGCCAAAATGTATTCAGTTATCTTAATAAAATAATAACCCAAATTAGTTTATAACCAAAAATTATAATTTTTTAAAACATTTTTTTTAATTTTTATGTTATTTTGTTATATTATTTTTTATTTTTTTTTTTTTTTTAACATACCGTCACCTTAGCAGTTCAGTGTCACCATAGTGACACTGTACTACTTGTGGAGGTTGATGAAGATTTTTTTTCTCTCTTTACACTGATTGCTTTTATACCCATAAAGGCTGTAAAAGCAATCATTTCTCCTTCTCTCTGGCTGCATTCTTGCAGCCATTGAGAAATACTGTGTGAGATGTGATTGGTCACAGCTTGTCACATGGTACAAGGCTGTTGTGAATAGCCTTGTACCATGTGACCTGTGATCATTCACAGATTTCACTAGTAGTAAGCAATGATGTCAGGAAGTGACATCTTGCTTACTACTATTCATGTTATCACTGATTGGCCAATCAGGGATCACATGAATTGGGACCTCACACAGAGGTCCTGTACAGCAATCGGTGTTCTGCTGTGTCTGAAGGCAGTTAATGCGGGGGCTGTTTTATAAACGGCAACCCGCTTCGGAACTGCTTCTGTCTGGCCGTTTATTTACATGGGCCGGACGGGAAGTGGTTAAAGCAGAGCTCCACCCAAAAGGGGAAGTTCTGTTTTAAGGACTGCTCCCCCGCCCACCATTAAGAATTGGCATCCTTGTGGAGCAGGTACCAAAATTTGACAGGTACCCGCTCCCACTTCCGGTCCGATCACCTAGGCGATCGGAAACGGAAGGTGTCCTCCCTCCCTCCCTGTAGGCTTTTGGGACACATGACAGGTCCCAGAAGACTACAGGACCATTCATGAAGCGCAGCACTACTCGCGCATGCGCAGTGGGTACACGGCTGTGAAGCCGCAAGTTATGCGGGTGCCAAACTAGTCATCAAATGCAATGGAATGGGGGCACTCATTCTCCACCTCCCTAAACTCCAAGTCTCCCAGGGAAGCTAATGAAGATTGCTTTCATACAACAACTTCTTAAGTTGAGAGTAAACCGTTAATGTGAGGTATTGTGGGTTTATCCAAATTTATACGAGGTGGTATGAAAAATACTTTTTGAGACTAGTTTTGTAACATGCAGAACAAGGCATGGGGCAATAGGGACAATGGCTCACATATGGTGGGAGTGCCAGAATATTCAGTTATTTTGGCAGGAGATAATTTCATCAAATACAGGAGATTGGGGGATATCTATTCAGAAGGATCCATGGGTGTGCATTTTCTATAAAACAGAGATGCCAGTAAAACAATATAAAAATAGCTTATTATACCATCTGATTAGTGCGGCAAAAGGTTTAATCCCTAAATTTTGGCAGGCTCAAGAACCTCCAACAACGAGGGATTGAATAGATAGAGCTGAATATGTTAACGGGATGGAGGAACTTTGTTTTATGGAGAAAGATGAAATGCAAAAATTTTGAAAGAAGTGAGGTAGATGGAATGAGTTTAAAACAGAAAAATATTTAAAAATGAAAGGCCCCCCGGTAGCAGAGTCAGAAAATTTAAATGGTTAAATAGAGCTACAGTATATACATGACTACATCTATGGGAGGGGAAAGAGAGGATAAAACGAAATTGGACAGGGATTTTTGTACTGGGAGGGGATGGGGATTAAGTATATGTGTGTGATGTAATAGGAATTTATGGCTCTTTTGTAATGTACTTTTAAAGGAAAATTTAATAAAATATCTAATAATAAATTAAGTTAAGTGTAATACTAGGTATTTTGGGTTTATCCAAATTCATACGAGGTGGAAGGAAAAAGACTTTTTGAGACTAGTTTTGTAACATGCAACACAAGGCTGCATGCACAGTCACATGGAGCACAGACCTTCAGAAGACATCACCCTGTGTACATCGGGAGCTTTGCTATTGGTGCTATTCTGACCACGTGTGTTACCACGTCTGCTATTTCATCATGGACAGCAAGTTGGAACAAAGAGCAAACGTTGAAATCTGTGTGAAACTGGGCAAATCGCTGGATCTCCACAATGTTGTGAAAACAGTGACCTTTGAGCTGGTTCTTCATCTTCGGGAAGAGGGCATTTTCAGGGGATGAGCTCCTTGAAAGTCTTCTTGATCTCTCGTCATCTTCCAGTGATGTTCTTCCGTTCTTGTACCGCACCTGCCACTCAAAACACCTTGAACGACTCTTTGCAGCATCGCTGTAAACTTGCTGAATCATGTCAAACATCTCTGTGGCAGATTTGCCCAATTTCACACAGAATTTCATGTTTGCTCATTGTTCAACTTGCTGTCCATGATGAATTAGCAGATGTGGTAACGCACACGGTCAGAATGGCACTAGGTGCACAGCTCCCGATGCACACCGGACAATGTCTTTTGGCACACTGACTTATGAAGGTCGGTGCTCCCTGTGAATGTGCATGAAGCCTCGTGCTGCCATCTGTTGGTGTGTGTTACAAAACTAGTCTCAAAATGTTTTGATACCACCTCGTATATACTGTATATTCATATATAATAGGATGTTCCTGTCCTATTTAGCAAAAATGCTTAACTTGTGGCCTCAAACCTATGGATGCTGTGCTTTATATTAGATCAAGGGGACTTTTCTGCCAAGCTGCTGCACAGCAAAGCGTTGGCCCATTGTGTGGTGTCATAGGACTGTCATTCCCTTCTGATTTCCAGGTGTTAACTGTGCGTATGAAAGATTCTTGCTGGTCAAAGTTCTGCAGGCTGGGATGGAGCCATCTTGTCTGCTGACATAAGTGGAAGTCACAGGAACTTGCTGATTGTCCGATTTATAACATGTCCAGTTCTTCTAATCAGCAGTCACTGTATGTTTAACTCTTTGCAGCACTGGGATGTCTTCAGAACCATCACAGAGGTTTTCATACTGGTGCCAGCTTTGGTTGGCCTTAAGGGGAACCTGGAGATGACATTGGCTTCTCGACTTTCCACTGCTGTAAGTTCTCTCTTCTGCTCTCCTCTCTTCTTTTTTCACCTTGTTTCTTGTTTGCTCTCTTGCTTCACCTCTGCCTCTCTGCTGCTCTTCACTTATTTGCTTTCCTTTTCTTCTCCCTCTTCCTTCTTTTCGTCTTCTGTCCTCTTCTCCCATCTCCTCATCTTTCTGGCCTCCTCTTCTTTCATCTCATCTCCTCTTCACCTTCTCTGCTTCTTCTCCTCCCCTCACCTTCTTCTACTACCCTCTCTCTTTTACTATTTTCTTTTTCTAACTTCTCTCATCATCCTCTTCTCTGTTCTCCTTCTCCTTTTCTTCTTTGCTCTTCTCTCACCTTCACTTCTTTCTTCTAATAACATCTTTTTTTTTTTCCTGTCCTCACCTCTTTTCATTTCTTACTCCTCTTCTTTCTTCTTCACCCCCAATTCTATTTTCTCCTCTTGTCTCTCCTCCTTCTCTTCTCTGCTCTCCTTCTCTCCTTTTCTCACCTTTTCTCCCGTCTTCTCCTAACCTCTCTTCTTTTCATCTCCTCTCTTCACCTTGTCTATTATGTGCTCTCCTTTTTCACCTCTATCTCTCTGCCCCTCTTCTCTTATTAAATCTCCCTTTTCTTCCCTCCTTCCTCCCTTTTTTCTTCTTCTTCTTTCCTCTTCTCCCCTCTCCTCCTCATCTTTCTGCCCTCCTCTTCTTTCATCTCCTCTCATCCTCCTCTTCTCTCCTTCTTCCTCCTCTCCTCACCTACTTCTACTACCCTCACTTTTTCTCTTTTCCTATCCCACTTCTCTGTTCTCTTCTGCTCATCTTCTTCTCTCCTCCTCCTTCTGAGTTTTCCTCTCCTTTTCTCATCTTCTCTCCTAACCTCTCTTCTTCTCGTTTCCTCTCTTCACTTCAATTTCTCCTTTCACTTTTTCTTCCCTCTTCCTATCCCTCTCCTCTTCTCCTTGCATCATATCCCTCTATTTCCTTACGTTTTCTCCTCTCCTGTGCCTTCCTCTCTCATTTTCTCTCCTCTTCTCCCCTCTCTCTCTCTTTTTTCTTCTTCTTGTTCCTCTCCTCTCTCTATTCAACTCTTACCTTCTTGGGTATACCCTCTCTCTTCATAACTGTCATTCATATCTATTGCTTTGCATTCCATCCTCATTCTGAAGAGATAAAAGTTGAACATTTATTAGTAACACAAAGCTTCCTTCTGTCTCTTTGTTATTTTTGCAGGCGAACACAGGTCAGATGGATGACCCCAGTGAAAGGTGGAAGATGGCAGTCAGCAATTTAGCTTTAATTCAGGTTAGTCACATCATTTTATTGCTCTGGATAGAACATTTAGGTATATTATTTCATAACATGTTAGTTATGCATTCCCAAAGATTCATAATAAAATTGTTGGTTCCCTGGATAAAAGGCATGGTTTTTCCCATTCTATGTTTTTTTGGAAGCTCAGCAACACAGTATGAATTGTGCATCAGATACCCCTGCCAGAGAATACATCCAGGCTGGTGACCAGACGTTTCTCCATTGCAATCAAACTATAAAGTTTTGGTCACCAACCTTTCCACAATATGTAAGCAAACTCCTTGTACTACAGGAACAATGCAGTTGAGCTTTATACACTTAAAACCTCCCCTTAGTCAAGATCCTGGCGTTCAGTAGATTGCAGTAACTAAAATTAAGCCATATAGAGATACTAGTTGTACCCAGGGACGGACTGACAACTCATGGCGCCCCCGGGCAATAGGGGATCATGGGGCCCCTGTGTCCTTGCCCAAACTCAAAAAAGCCTATGAAAAAGGTACCAGGGGCATCTCATGGGGCCCCCTACTGACCACGGGCCCTCGGGCAGTGCCGAGTTTCTAAATGGTCAGTCCGCCCCTGGTTGTACCTTTTTGTAATATATCTTTGCATTTTTTAATGAATAAATTATTGGATATAGTGGGGTTCTTTCTGGAATATAGGTTTAAAGCACAACAGGTGAGGTAAGTCATTACTGTACGCTGATATTATAGCACACAAATCACCAGTACCGATCAGTTGCATCCTATTACTATTTTATCACCACTAAATACTTGGCATTAACACTTATGCAGCATGTGTAATTTTTCTGTATGTTTATAACACCTGAAAAACTGAAACTAAGCACATTTATTGCCAAAAATCAACTTAAACTCTAAAATCCAGATGATATTTGTACCTTCATATAATGGCGAACACTGTTTAACATTCTATTTATATATAAAATTGTACCTCACTGTCATTTCAGGTTCAGGCCACAGTGGTTGGGCTCTTAGCTGCTGTCGCTGCCGTCATCTTAGGGGCTCTGTCTAAAGGCTACATTGAACTGGACCAAGCTGCGGTCCTCTGTGCCAGCAGTGTCACCACGGCGTTTGTGGCTGCCCTGTCCTTAGGTAAGAGCTGTCCTTTTTTGTCCTGACCAGCAAAAGCTCATTTATTACTTTAAAAAGATCCTGAGCTCTGGATAATTAATAATATGGAGTTATCACTTTTTTTTTTTATTTTCTTGGCTTTGGTGCTCATAGGGAAAACTGTGATTACTTGATTTGTTAAAATGTATCTCAAAGTCAAAATGATGGTGATGTTTAAAGATCCTATCATTTTTTTTCTTGCTGTCTGTGTCCATTATTTATAAACCTAGTAAGATGTGCTGTCTCCTTTAAATTAACATCATTATAATGTCAGACTATTAAAATGAGTAACCCAATATCAATAAATAGAATAAAAAATGTGAAAATCAATATGTGAATTCCATAAAAGTGCAGAAACTAAGCAAAATTCATACACAGAATAAGTGCGATACATTTAGTGCAAAAAAACAATCCCCAAAGGCTTTTTAAGTGCCGAGTACAATAAAGTGACTGTGCACCTTCACCCACCACTTGAACAGTCTAATTGCTTATCAAAGCCTAAGGCCTCAACACAATGGGCCAAAACACGCTTTTCAGACAGCAACCACCACTCGGATCCAGATCCCACTAATCCAGATCCCTGCTCCGGTAGTGAACTCGCTATGTGTGTGTGTGTGTGTGTATATATATATATATATATATATATCTAACCTGTTGGGGTTCTTACATGTAATTACCAAGCGGGTGCATTCCCAAGCATAAATGCACATTTAGTGCACTAAATAATATAAAAACTCCTGCGCTCAATAGAACACCTATTAATAAGCAGCACACACTCGCCTCAACCACAAGGAAAGAACATGCAAATTACAAGAAATAGTGCAGCGCTAACAACCTATACTAAAATACAAATGAGATAAATGGAAATATCCCACATAGAATGCACAATAAATATTCAGTGTTAAGTGCAATGAATGAATACTATGTGCAGCAGTCCATAAATGCCAATGATGGTGAAAAATCACAGCAAACTCCGTGAGGTGATCACAGTGCCACTCAGTGTGCGGTCAATCCACAGATGGCCCCTCACCTCCTTAATGTGACCCATTGGGCCAAACAGCTATGTAGGTGACCTTATACACCCAATAAGGTATCATCAAAGGATGGAACGTTTGGATAGATCCCTCCAATATCTTCTCCTGTCTCATGTAAAATGACACAGATCAGCTTTTTTCCCATATCATGGGTGAGTTTCCATGGTCACCCTGAGGATGTCACGTGAATCGTGACGTAAACGCGTTGGTACGCACCGACATCACTTCCGGTGGCGCGCTGACGCCATTTCCAGTGTCGGCGCCATTTCTGGAGGGATTGTAGAGCAAGTGGAGCTGCATGCATTTCCTAGCATGAGAACCATGGAAACACACCCATGATATGGGAAAAAGCTGATCTGTATCATTTTACATGAGACAGGAGAAGATATTGGAGGGCTCTATCCAAACATTCTATCCTTTGATGATACCTTATTGGGTGTATAAGGTCACCTACATAGCTGTTTGGCCCAGTGGGTCGCATTAAGGAGGTGAGGGGCCAGCTTGGCCATCAGTGGATTGACTGCACACTGAGTGGCACTGTGATCACCTCACGGAGTTTGCTGTGATTTTTCACCATCATTGGCATTTATGGACTGCTGCACATAGTGTTCATTCATTGCACTTAACACTGAATATTTATTGTGCATTCTATGTGGGATATTTCCATTGATCTCATTTGTACATTTAGTGCACTAGTACTGTACTGTGCCCTTGCAGTGCTGGCATCCAGTGCTGGAGTTCTCCTGGCCTTTTTGTGGGTTACCTCTAGTCTAGGCTAACTAGTTTCCTAACAATACCAGAAATATAGTGAAGCTCAGTTGTTATTATTAATATTATTATCCTAGCACTATAAAGAACAGACATGATACTTAGTTCTGTACTCTAAAGAAGAACTCTGGTCAGAAGTTTTAGGGCAGCTTTAGATATTTTTGCCTTCAACAAATATGGTCTTCATTTGTAATCCAATGATGCAGCCACTGTAAAATCCCTTCCAGAAACCTGCATGAGAATTTATTTCCTGTTTGCAAGACCAGTGGCTGTTTTGCCCACTCCATCCCCAGGACATCGGTTGTGTAACATCTCTGCTGTAGTTCTTTCTATACCAACATGTTGCCCTTGTCTATAGTGGGAGGACCCAGGCATCTCAGACTTCTATTATGCCTAGCCCACTAACACAGCAAAATTGATGGACAGGCCAGGAGAGTCCCGATCTTTCACGCTCATTCATGACCAGGGGCGGACTGACAACTCATGGGGCCCCCGGGCAATAGGGGATCATGGGGCCCCTGTGTCCTTGCCCAAACTCAAAAAAGCCTATGAAAAAGGTCCCAGGGGCATCTCATGGGGCCCCCTCCTGACCCCGGGCCCTCGCGAGTTTCCAAATGGTCAGTCCGCCCCTGTTCATGACCATAATTCTAACAACATTAATACCCATTGACAGCTACAATTCCCATTGCATGATGGGAATTGTAGTTTGTTCCAGCAGGGCTGCATAGTGACAGGAAGTGATATTAGCAGTTCCTTGATACCTCCTCTGAGTTCCTGAGTATAGCTGCAGTTTGTATTTGTGAGCAGTGACGTCACTGATTGTTTAAAAATAGTTTAATGAACACTTTGGTAGGTTTAAAAAAAACAAAACAAAACAAAAAAAAAAATATATATATATGTTTTGTTTTTTTTGTTTTGTTTTTTTTTAAACGTACCAAAGTTTTCATTAAACTATTTTTAAACAATCAGTATATATATATATATACAGTTGTGTTCAAAATAATAGCAGTCAGACATCACTAACCGGATCAATCACTGTTTTTGGTAGAAATGATATTTCTACATGGCAAATAATTTCCTAGCAGGTGTAGTAGAGTAATAGAAATCCAACAGACCCAACAGTCATGACATGCATGCTGCTGATTCTGTGTCATTGAATCACTCATTGAAAGGGACATGTTCAAAATAATAGCAGTATGGAGTTCTATTAGTGAGGTCATTCATTCTTTGAAAAACCGGTTCAATTATTGCCCTTATTTAAGGAAGGAAGGCAGCAAATGTTGTACATGCTGGTTACAGTGCATTTCTCTCTGAAATTCTGAGGAAAATGGGTTGTTCCAGACATTGTTCAGAAGAACAGCGTACCTTGATTAAAAAGTTGATTGGAGAGGGGAAAACATATAAAGAAGTGCAGAAAATGATCGGCTGCTCAGCTAAAATGATCGCAAATGCTTTAAAATGGCAACCAAAACCTGAAAGACGCGGAAGAAAGCGAAAAACTACCATTGGAATGGATAGAAGAATAGCCAAAATGGCGCGGACTCAGCCAACAATCAGCTCCAGGAAGATGAAAGAAGGTGTGACGTTCCCTGTGAGGACTGTTACAATTAGAAGACGCCTATGTGAAGCCAAGCTATCTGCAAGAAGCCCCCGCAAAGTCCCACTGTTGGAAAAAAGACGTGCTGAAGAGGTTACAATCTGCCAAAGAGCACATTGACTGGCCTAAAGAGAAATGGTGCAACATTTTCTGGACTGATGAAAGTAAGATTGTTCTTTTTGGGTCTAGTGGCCGGAGACAGTTTGTCAGACGACCCCCAAACACTGAATTCAAGCCACAGTACACTGTGAAGACAGTGAAGCATGGTGGTGCAAGCATCATGATATGGGGATGTTTCTCATACTACGGTGTTGGGCCTATTTATCGCATACCAGGGATCATGGATCAGTTTGAATACATCAGAATACTTGAAGAGGTCATGCTGCCTTATGCTGAAGAGGAAATGCCCTTGAAATGGGTGTTCCAACAAGACAATGACCCCAAACACACCAGTAAACGTGCAACATCTTGGTTCCAGACCAACAAGATGGACGTTATGGAGTGGCCAGCCCAATCCCCGGATCTTAATCCAATAGAAAACTTGTGGGGTGACATCAAAAATGCAGTTTCTGAGGCAAAACCAAGAAATAGAGAAGAACTGTGGAATGTCGTCCAATCATCCTGGGCTGGAATACCTGATCACAGGGGCCAGAAGTTGGGTGACTCCATGCAACACAGATGTACAGCAGTTCTCAGAAACAGTGCGACTACAACCAAATATTCATGAAGTCATTCAAAGGAAAGCAAAATCTTCAAACATTTCTCAGTTTATATAGTGAATGTTTGAGTTTGTAAAGAAGAATACAAACACTGCGATTTTTTTTGAACAGTCTAATATTCACTTTTCTTCCTTTTTTTAGAGGAACAACACAAATTTGATCTATTTTTCTTCATGTTTTGATTTGGAATAGAATGTGTCGTGTTCCCAATGCATTTGTGTGGATGGAAATAAAAGCTGCTAGAAGGATTTTGAGCTTTATTCACTTTTTTCAACACACTGCTATTATTTTGAACACAACTGTGTATATGTATATATATATATGTATGTATATATATGTGTGTGTTTGTATACATTTGTTCACATTTGTAATGTCCATAGCAACAGGAATTAAAGCAGTATTCAACCCAAAAGCAAAAGCATTTTTTTTATATTGCAGATTACCAATTTTTATATGTGATACTGCATGAGTTTACTTTTTTAAACTGTCTTTCTTCTGTTTTTAGCTGGTGATCAGGCTAGTCTGTTGTTTTTTCAAAAGGACTAGCACTTCAGAAGAATTCATCAGTTACCGAGTTGAGACAAACCATTTTCCACTGACAAGAGTGCTTACAATGATCAGCTTTTATATATTTATAAAACACCTTTATCCCAAAAGGAAAAAAAAAATGTTTGTTGTAACTGCTTTTAAAGTGTGAGCTGTAGATTGGCTTCACTTTGTGAGTATCTTTAAATCTGCTAGTACATCTAACACTCCCTCCCCTCAGACTGACAATGTTGCTGTCTAAAGGTGCCTCCTGTGCTCGTTCATCAAGAGAGGGGGGCGCTCTAATACAGGAGGTGTGTTACTGGCCAGATCACCAGGTGAAAACAGAGGGGAAAAAAAATGTCTAAAATAAGGAAAACTAATGCTGCCACCACATCTAATGATTGATAAGCTGCAGTATATTATATTTTTGATTTTGGGTTTAATACAGCTTTAATAGGCCAAATGAAATCATATCCCAAAGTTCAGCTTGAAATAATATTAAAGGGGAACAAGTACAAACAAGTAAAAAACAACCCGTGACAAGTAGAATATGTCCAGTTGAGCGTTTCCATTAGATTAGCTCCAGTGTGTATGTGTGTGTGCGTGGGAACCCGTAAACTGTAAACCCTACAGGGGCAGATTCAGGTGTTAATGGTAAAATGTACTTTCAATTTTGACATAATAAACAATATAGAAAGGTAGGTTAAAGATGAATTAAAGTTATGGATATTTTTGCATAGCTAAATTGTTCCAGCTTGGACCAGTATAAGTATGTACCAGGGGCGGACTGACCATATGGAAACTCAGGGACTGCCCGAGGGCCCGGGGTCAGTAGGGGGCCCCATGAGATGCCCCTGGGACCTTTTTCATAGGCTTTTTTGAGTTTGGGCAAGGACACAAGTGCCCCATGATCCCCTATTGCCCGGGGGCCCCATGAGTTGTCAGTCCGCCCCTGGTATGTACTGTATGTTCCACACCTGAGGGATCCCAGGGAAGCTGGAAATCACCGTATTAGGCACCTCCAGTGATTGCCGCTGTCTTCTTGGTCCTGCGCCGAGTGGCTGCCCCTTTGTGAACACAGCAGGTCGATCTTCCAGGTATGGAACATAAATATTTATAATGCTCCAATCTGGACTGATGTAACTATACAAAAATGTCCACACCTGGAATTCAGTTTTTAAATAAGACAAAATTCTAATACCGTGCTTCCAGAAGAAGGAGAAAGAAAAACCCAAGTGACCAATTATGACATCTCCGTATTTTGGTGTCCGGTAGGTCTGGTGATGATTGGAGTCATCGTGGCATCCAGGAAACTCGGCATAAATCCTGATAATGTGGCCACACCCATTGCTGCTAGTCTGGGGGATCTGATCACACTGTCGCTCCTGGCTGGTGTCAGCAGCACCCTTTTCAACTACAGAGGTAAGACTCGTAAAGTGATTGTAAACCCCTATTTTTTTCTTTGCAAAATAGCAATCATGTCATACTTACCTGCTCTGTGCAGTTGTTATGCACAGAGCAGCCATGATCTTCCTCGTCTGGGGTCCCAGGCGGCACTCCTGGCTCCTGGCTCCTCCCCCCCTCACCGAGTGCCCACCATAGCAAACCACTCGCTGTGGGGGCACACCTGTGGGCTCAGTCCTGAGCAGGCTCTGTGTGTCCATAGACAAACAGAGTGCAGCTTGCCCTACCCCCCTCGTCGCTGCCTGTGATTGACATCAGTGGGAGCCAATGTAGAGGAATCAGGACCTCCTTCTCATGGTGGTGATCCCTCTAGTGATATAAAGATCTATATAGAGGTGACAATCCTGACCTCCTTACTCCTGCTGGTGACCCCTCTAGTGATATAAAGATCTATATAGGGGAATCAGGACCTCCTTTCTCCTGCTGGTGATCCCTCTAGTGATATAAAAATCTATATAGGGGAATCAGGATCTCCTTCCTTTCTCCCTCTAGTGATATAAAAATCTATATAGGAGAATCAGGACCTCCTTTCCTCATGGCGGTGATCCCTCTAGTGATATAAAAATCTATATAGGGGAATCAGGACCTCCTTCCTCATGGTGGTGATCCCTCTAGTGATATAAAGATCTATATAGAGGAATCCTGACCTCCTTTCTCCCTGGTGACCCCTCTAGTGATATAAAGATCTATATAGGGGAATCAGGACCTCTTTCCTCATGGCGGTGATCCCTCTAGTGATATAAAAATCTATATAGGGGAATCAGGATCTCCTTCCTCATGGCGGTGATCCCTCTAGTGATATAAAAATCTATATAGGGGAATCAGGACCTCCTTCCTCATGGGTGGTGATCCCTCTAGTAATATAAAAATCTATATAGGGGAATCAGGACCTCCTTCCTCATGGTGGTGATCCCTCTAGTGACATAAAGATCTATATAGAGGAATCAGGACCTCCTTCCTCATGGTGGTGATCCCTCTAGTGACATAAAGATCTATATAGAGGAATCAGGACCTCCTTGCTCCTGCTGGTGATCCCTCTAGTGATATAAAAATCTATATAGGGGAATCAGAACCTCCTTCCTCATGGTGGCGATCCCTCTATTATTATTATTATACAGGATTTATATAGCGCCAACAGTTTGTTCAGTGCTTTACAATATAACAGGAGACAATACAGCAACAATACAGTTCAAAACAAGAGGGTTAGGAGGGCCCTACGCGCTGTGGGGGCACTCCTGTGGGCTCAGTCCTGAGCAGGCTCCGTGTGTCCATAGACAAACAGAGTGCAGCTTGCCCTACCCCCCTCGTCACTGCCTGTGATTGACATCAGTGGGAGAATGTAGAGGAATCAGGACCTTCTTCCTCATGGTGGTGATCCCTCCAATGATATAAAGATCTATATAGGAGAATCAGGACCTCCTTCCTCCTGCTGGTGATCCCTCTAGTGATATAAAGGTCTATATAGAGGAACTAGAACCTCTTTCATCCTGCTGGGGATCCCTATAGTGATAACTAAAGATCTGTATAGTGAAATCAGGACCTCCTTCCTCCCACTGATGACCCCTCTAGTTACAAAAATGTATATAAAGGAACCAGGACCTCCTTCTTCCTGCAGGTGATCCCTCTGTGACAATTTAACGATCAATATAGAGGAATCAGGACCTCCTTCCTGCAGGTGATCTCCCCAAAGGTATATCCCAGAATTCAGTTTTTTTTCCACACTGCTTGGGCATGCTGTTTGCTCATTTTTCATTCATCAAGCTCCCCCAAATCTTTACCCTCTATAGTTCTGGCCAACACAGTACCCCCAATATTGTACTCTATCAAGGGATTATTTTTTCCTACATAGAATATTTTGCATTTGGAAACATTAAACTGCAGTTTCCACTGCTTTGACCAATTTTCCAGCAATGCCAAATCATATTCCGTGTTATAGACACCTCCAGGAATATCAGCTCTTATGTGCACCTTTGTGTCGTCCGAAAAAAGACATACAGTACCTTATCCACCAAACCTTCAGTTATATCACATACAGCTCAAATATAATCCCTCCTTCATATAAATCTCTCTTATCTCTCTTTGCAGATATTCAATACCTCTCTCCACTAATCTGTGTGATCTTCATCATCCTGATCCCGCTGTGGGTGGCGGTGGCTAAGCAGTCCCCTTCCATTGCCGAAGTCTTGAAATCTGGTTGGCAGCCGGTCATTGTAGCCATGTCCATTAGCAGGTGAGGGAACCTCAGATGCAGATTAGAACTAGAGAAATTAAGTCACATCCCAGCTGTCAGTTTTCTAGGATCCTGATGCTAAAGGTGGCTACATCCTCCCCTGAAAACAATTCTGTTATACGTGAAGCAGGCTTAATCCCATGCAATGATTAAAGCCGAACTCCAGAAATCTATGAGAAAACCATTTGGTGATTTCCAGTGGGAAGAACTCAGGAGTTCATGGCTGTCTCTCCCTATAAAGCCTCAATCCTCTTTTTACAGCAAGAATAATTGCAGTCTTCCTTCTTCAGTCTCTGTAGTGTAACTTTAGGATGAACCAGGGGCGGACTGACAACTCATGGGGCCCCTGGGCAATAGGGGATCCTGGGGCCCCTGTGTCCTTGCCCAAACCCAAAAAAGCCTATGAAAAAGGTACCAGGGGCATCTCATGGGGCCCCCTACTGACCCCGGGCCCTAGGGCAGTGCCCCAGTTTCCAAATGGTCAGTCCGCCCCTGGGATGAACCCATCATTAAAGTTCACATTTCTCATTAGTAGTATACCAGTCCACACTGGCAAATCACAATATTATTCTTAGTATTGAAAAAACAAAAAATAAACCTCTTTTTTGCTAAGATATTAAAAAACTGTTGCTTCTGAACATCCTTGTGTAACAGGCAGGCTGGATCACATGATCGCTGTCTACTATGAGCAACGGGGGAGATTTACTAAAACTGGTGCCCTCAGAATCTGGTGCAGCTGTGCATGGCAGCCAATCAGCTTCTAACTTCAACTTGTTCAATTAGGCTTTGGAAATAAAACCTGAAAGCTGATTGGTTTTTATGCACCAGATTTTGCACTCTCCAGTTTTAGTAACTAACCCCCACTGTCTTTCACGCCATTGGAGACGGCAGAGAGTGTATTGTTTAAAGTGACTTTGTCAGAATGTATCATCACTTCTATCCATGATCACACCTACTAAAAGGCGCTGGAATATACTCACCTTCCCAGCGGCACATCTCCTGAAACCCCACCAGTTTTCTGTCCTCCACTACTGCAGTGTTGTATTTGTTCAAGTGTGTGGAATACATGCTTCTCCGCCACGATTTATTTTATTACATGTACTTATATAGCGCTGTCAATTTACACAGCGCTTTACATATATATTGTACATTCACATCAGTCACTAACCCTCAAGGGGCGTACATCTAAGGTCCCTAACCCTCAGGGGTGCACAATCTAAGGTCCCTAACCCTCAAGGGGCGCACAATCTAAGGTCCCTAACCCCACAAGGGGCGTACAATCTAAGGTCCCTAACCCTCAAGGGGCGTACAATCTAAGGTCCCTAACCCTCAAGGCGTACAATCTAAGGTCCCTAACCCTCAAGGGGCGTACAATCTAAGGTCCCTAACCCTCAAGGGGCGTACAGTCTAAGGTCCCTAACCCTCAAGGGGCGTACAATCTAAGGTCCCTAACTCACATTCATACTAGGGCCAATTTAGACAGGATCCAATTAACCTACCAGTGGAGTGTGGGAGGAAACCCACACAGGCACAGGGAGAACAGGCAAACTCCAGGCAGCTGGTGCCATGGTTGAGATTCAAACCAACGACCCTAGTTCTGCCAGGCGGAAGTGCTAACCATTTAGCCACTGTGCTGCCCAAATACCACCATAATTATATTCCCTTTCCTTTTAGAAGTTATGCTTTTGGATACAAGTGTGCATTTGCTAACAGGTTCACTTTAAAATGGCCCCCCGTATGGTGGACTTGCAATGAAATAAGAGGTTCAGCAAAGCACAGCAGGCAGCAGAACCTGGCGGCGAGATATCTGCCTGTCCTCAAACAAACAGCTGGTGTTTTTTTTTTCTTTCATTTTCAATTGAATTTATTAAAACTATGGCTCCATGCTTCTTACATGGGTACTCCTGTTAGCCAATACTCCTTCTCTGATGCGTTTTTTGCCCTCAGTCAGGGTTTGATCATAAGAATATGATTAAGCCCTGTTGGAGGGAAAAATGCGTCAGAGGAGGAGTCATGTCTGGCAGTTTGTGACTGATTATACGCTACCTATACCATATAAACATCTCCAAGCATGTAACAAGTGAAATAGATTCAAAAATACAAATTTAAAAAAAAAATAGTTCCTTTTTGGCTTGATATGGCTTGATAAAGTATATTTGCTTATTGAGTGTATTTAATTTATGAGGGATAATGCACTACATGAATTTTCTTTTCTTTTGAGGTTTTCGTTTGTCTGTAGGAGCCATTTGGAAGGCTTCAACACCAGGATTTGTGGAACTTTCATTGAGTGACTATATCATTTTTGAAGGACATATTTCTTATGGTTGCACTGATTTTTATTTTGGACTATTTTACTTTACAATTTTATTTTTGAATTTATTTCACTTGTTACATGCTTGGAGATGTTTATATGGTGTAGGTAGCATATAATCAGTCACATATTGTCACACTTTTAGGGTGAAAGTGTTTTTATATATGCTATTGGGTATACTTTGATTTAGATTTATTTAGGGGATACCATAAATTTAGCTACCATGTCTGGCAGTTGTAACATTATAAGAGGAGCCATGCCATTGAAATTGAAGAAAAACACATAGTTTGTTTGTGGTTGCAGGTAGGTTGCAAGTTCCACGTTGGCCTGGCACCCATGGCCAGTGGGTGCATTAAAGTCTTTTTTGACAGTTGAGCATGAAAGGGATTGTTACAAATTAGGTAATCTGCCTGTTGCTGTGTATTACTTGCCATTTTTGCACTACCTCAATCCTTTCCCCCAGTCAGTAGTAGAGAAATAGACCTGCTAGAAGGGGCAGCAAGGTTGAAAATCTACTTGTTAACCACTTCCTCTCCGGACACTTTCACCCCCTTCCTGTCCAGGGCAATTTTCAGCTTTCAGCGCTATCACACTTTGAATGACAATTGCGCGGTCATGCAATACTGTACCCATATGAATTTTTTACCATTTTTTTGAGACAGATAAAGCTTTATTTTGGTGGTATTTATTCACCACTGGGATTTTTATTTTTTTGCTATGTAAATGAAAAAGTCCAAAAATTTTGAAAAAAAGTGTTTTTTTTTTTAAATAAAATTTTGCAAATAAATAACATTTCATCATAAATTTTGGCCAAAATTTATTCCGTTATTTTTTTAGTAAAAAAAAAAAAAATCCAAATTAGTTTATAACCAAAAATTATAATTTTTAAACATTTTTTTTTACATGTTTCTTTTAATTTTTTATATTATTATTTTTTTTTTTATATTTTTTTTTTTACATACTGTCACCCTAGTAGTACAGTGTCACCATGATGACACTGTACTACTTGTGGGGGGTGATGAAGATTTTTTTTTTTTTTTTTTTTTTTACACTGATTGCTTTTACACCCATATAGGATGTAAAAGCAATCATTTCTCTTTCTCTCTGTCTGCATTCTTGCAGTCATTGGGAAGTACTGAGTGAGCTGTGATTGGTCACAGCTTGTCACATGGTACAAGGCTGTTGTGAATAGCCTTGTACCATGTGACCTCTGTGATCATTCACAGATTTCACACGTAGTAAGCAATGATGTCACAAGTGACATCTTGCTTACTACTTTGCATGTGATCACTGATTGGCCAATCAGTGATCACATGATCGGGACCTCGTACAGAGGTCCCGTACGACGATCGGTGTTCCACTGTGTCCGGAGGACACAGCGGGCACCAGATCGCGGTGCTGCGCGCTCCCAGGGAGCGCGCACAGCTAGAAAAGGCGGGTGCCGTTTATGAACAGAAACCTGCCCCTGGACTGCCACCGCCCTGCCGTTTATAAACAGCAGGTGGACGGCAAGTGGTTAAACAAATATGGCCATAGATGGATCAAATCTTGGCTGGTTCAGCAGGGACCGGGCGAGATTTGATCCATCTATTGGTAAACTGGACAACCAACCTGTCGGATTTTTTGCATCATTGTGTTCTGCCTACGCCAACCCCCCCCCACACAATAGCCCTGCAAGAGGGATTCCCCCATCAAAACTAACTGTGTTGATGGGGAAATCAAGTGATTTTCTTTCCTTCCACCACTGATAAATTGCCTAATCTATGGGCTGCTTAAGACCTGCCTGAGAATTTTCTCATCAAGTCCTAGAAGCTCATATACAGATCCCTTCAGATGAAGTCCAGAAGTGACGAAATGCGTTAGTGGATGTAACGTCAAGACGCATGCACGCTAACCGGAAGTGTCGCCGCGGCCATTTTGCTGGTTTGAAACATATGGTTTCAGCCATTGACTGCAGATTTCATTAGAGAACCATTATAGGAGCTGGAAGTTCCTTTTTCAGATGTAAGTTGCTAATAAATTTATTTCTATGCCTTGATGATCAGTCTAAAAGAGCCTTCTTATCTTTGTAAGGACCTTGGAAATCTAATCCTGGAAATGAAGGAATAAGAAGAGTTTTTGATTCCATAGTATTGAATATGCATACAAATACTCACAGAGGAGTATTATTTATTTATTTAAGGGTAATGCACTATAGTTTATTTCTTTGTTTTGAGGTTTTTTCGCTGCAAAATTAGGATTATTATCCTTCTTACTGGAATTCTCACTGGAAGTTTAGAATTTGAACTTTTTGATTTTGTTGGACACATTTTGTTGGACACATTCGAATTGGACATTTTATGATTATATTTGTAGATATTTTTGAATTATTGTGAATTATTTTTGGATTTTACACAAAAAGGTATTTTATTATATTATTATAAGCTCATATACAGGCTGATAAGTGTGATACTGGGAACTGTGCTGTGTGTCAAGACAAGACAGCTGATAACATAACAAACTATGCTGAAGTTAGCTTCATAGAGTGCTAAATGGCCCATATTTGCTGTAAATCTGTGCACTTTTGGTGAACCGTAGTTGATGTGTTGGTTGGCTTTAAATGTACTGATCTTACAAAGTGAATGGACAAGGAAAAAAAAAAATATATATATATATAAAACTTTTCTCTTTTAAAAAAACACAAAAGTGTTCAAAATATCAAAACAATCCCCACTAGTGTAAACAATTGTTCAGCAAAGTCTCTTTTTTCTTCTTTCAACAACAAGTCTCTTTCTCAACACCCGCAAATTCTGATGACAATATACCTCAAAAGAAAAAAAAGACACTATGTTGAGTTTTTTTCTTTTGAGGTATATTGTCATCAGAATTTGCGGGTGTTGAGAAAGAGACTTGTTGTTGAAAGAAGAAAAAAAAGAGACTTTGCTGAACAATTGTTTACACTAGTGGGGATTGTTTTGATATTTTGGACACTTTTGTGGTTTTTTAAAAGAGAAAAGTTTTATATATTTTTTTTTTTGATTAGCCTTCAAGGGTGGAGGTGGATGACTTTTTCTGGGATATTATATGGGAATTTTGTGCTGTGTATTTGTATATATATGAATGGACAAGGAATGTTGATTAAAAAAGTGTCATGACACAGAAGGTCAAGGCCTATCTTTTTTGGTTTCACCACATAAACGTATTCATACATTAATCTTTTCTTGATCTTTCCTAGTATTGGTGGCCTCATCCTAGACAAAACAGTAACAGATCCCAAATTCGAGGGAATGGCAGTATTCACTCCAGTTATTAATGGTACGTACCTTCTGACTTGTCTCCAGCAATGGCTGCATGGTATTTTTTTAGGGCAGGTTTCCTAATAGTAACAGCAGTAGACTATTACTGCCTAAAACAAGAAAATGGGTACAAATGGATACCTCAGCACCACATCCTCAAAAATACTGGTAGAGAAACAAAAAAGAAGAATAAGTGGAACTTTTTAGGTGCTAACAACTTTACCCTCAGGAAAAGATCAAGACAAGTGTATATAAAATCATACATTTTTATTATATAATCATGTTATCATTCTATTGGGGTATATACCACATTAAAAAAAAATTGCTAAACCTGATAGCAAAAACAATCAGCTCAGCAACCCCAAACAACAAACAATATATATAAACAATATACAAACAACAAGAGTGACAATTATGGATTACAGCATGCTAATAAAATAGCTGAACAAAACATAAACAGAAAGGGAGGTGCTTATATTCCGACACGTTTTACAAGATGAGCTTCTTCAGGGGTTCACAGGGTGCAGCTGATGAAAAAAAGACAATACATCATAACACAAATGCACATACAGTGTTACAAAACAGTTATATGCCAATAAGATCAATTATTCAAAAACACACAATTATTACTTACAATGCAAAAATATTCCCAAATAGGAGTTTTGCTTATATTGGTGGAGACCCCAATATGTATAGCTGAAGAGGTGACAGGCAAAGATGGAAAAATGGAAACACAACCGGCAAGCCCAACTTGAGCACACAGGGGCAATATATGGGGGAGTACCAACCATCGTTCCTGCCTAATGTGTTGCCTGTGGTTTCCATAGGAAGCCCAGTTGACATGGTTACAACAAAGACATAACTGGAGACAGAGCATTGTCACCCTAAAATAGGAACCATAGATACACAGCTACATCTGATAATATTCTGGGTGCACAATTTAAGTATAGTTGGTTGCTAAAGTACAACAAGCAACAAAAAAAAAAAACCCATCAGTGACCAGTAGGGATCATCTTGGGCTCAGTTCGAACCTGAAATAAAGCTGTCAGTGCCCAGCTAATCCTCTGTCTACATCTGATTGGCCCGGCACTGATAACTTTCTTTTGGGTTCAACTGAACATGGGTTTGGACTGAACCCAAGCTCATCTATAGTGATCACCACCTCCACTCAACTTTGAGGGGACATGTCGGAAAATTTGCCATTGGTCAGCAGCTGCAGCCAGCCAGTCCTATCATTGAAAGGGGTTAACTCAGGGGTATTGCGAAGCTGTCAAAGTGGACAGCCAATCATAGTGGCAGAGGCATTCCACACCCCACAACTGCATGTACAGTATATATACCCCTTACAAACGTGCAGCTGCAGGCAGGGAATGCCTCCACCCCCTATTATTTGTTGTCAACTTTGACAGCTTTCTGGCGGAATAGCTCAGGGCGGTGTCAGGTCGTGTCCAAATATGCCTGAGCTCATCCCTTCCACTGATACGCTTATCAGCAGCTGCAGCTGATTGGCTGCTGATTAATGGCAAATTTTCCAACATGTCCCTCAAAGTTGAGCAGAGGAGCCCACATACTGATCGAAATTTGGTTAGTCCCTGCTGGACTGGCCAAATTTTGATCAGTTCATGGCCAGCTTTAGGCCGGCCATAGATGGGTTGAATCTCGTCCATTCAGCGGCTGATCCATCGATCCATCAGTACAATCGGCTTGTCAGACTTTTTTCATGTGATCACTGCCAGAGGCTATTGCTGCTGGCAGTGATCATAGTGTTCTGCCAGCAGGAAAGGATCCAAGCAGTCCACACACAGTGATATAGCTGTGTAACAATGCTGAGAGTAAACTCAATATATAGCTAGAGTGATAAATGTCTTTGGAAAGTCCCCTGCCCAAAGACAGTAAATGCTTGTTACCCCCCCTGACTGCAATAACACCTTTCTGCCCAATCTGGGTCTTCTCCAGGTCACTAGTGAAGTGAACACACACCCACTCACATAAGGAGAGGAAAATCCCTCCTACATTGGAAATGTGAGTTAACCCTGAGAGTTACCTTATATAATCACTATAAAAAATGTAACCACTAGGAAAGATCTATTTAATAAATCAAAAATGTAACCCACATGATAGCTAATGAAAAATATGTTACTGATGTAACTAGTTATTCCAGCTTGGAACTATGCTTCTAGAGCAGTGGTCTCCAAACTGTGGCCCGGGGGCCAGATGTAGCCCTTTGCTTGCTTTTATCTGACCCTTGGGGCATTATTTCATCTACTGATACCAACAATTGGTTATAATACCCCCCACTTACACCAATGAAGGGGGCACAACTCCTTCCAATGACACCAACGTTGGGGCACAATTCCTCCCAGTGACACAATTGATAGGGAAATAGAAACAACACCTCCTGTGCTCAGGGATCCAGATCAAGGGTGGGTGGGTGGATGGACCACTTATGGAAGTTCATCCGCCGATGGATCAGAGCTTGTGCAGCTCTTGAGAAGGCTGGGGAAGCCTGACCAGTACTGCAAAGTGAAACAAAAAGTGAGCGCACCAACCTTGCGCATTACCTCAATACAAAACTTGATTTTATGAAAATGAGATATATACTCACAAACGAAGTGTGTAAGATCCTCAAAGGAGCATTAAAGTGCAAGACCAGTGCAAGTCACATCAATGGGGGGAGACTCTCAAAAGTTCTGCTGATGCTTTTCGAAGGGGGGTCCCTTCTTCCTCAGAGCTAAGGAAGCAGGGACCCCCTTCAAAACTTATCAGCATTTGAGAGTCTCCCCCCATTGATGTGAATCGCACTGGTCTTGCACTTTAATGCTCCTTTGAGGATCTTGCACGCTTGTTTTACTGCTTTGTTTGTGAGTATATATCTCACTCATTTTATCGAAATCAAGTTTTGTACTGAGGTAATGCGCAAGGTTGGTGCGCTTTCATTTTGTTCCACTTTGCAACACAATTGATAGGGTCCAATGACATGAATGATGGGGCACAATTCCTCCCAGTGACACAAATGATAGGGACCAATGACATCAATGATGGGGCACAATTCCTCCCAGTGACACAAATGATAGGGTCCAATGACATGAATGATGGGCCACAATTCCTCCCAGTGACACAAATGATAGGGACCAATGACATCAATGATGGGGCACAATTCCTCCCAGTGACACAAATGATAGGGACCAATGACATCAATGATGGGGCACAATTCCTCCCAGTGACACAAATGATAGGGTCCAATGACATGAATGATGGGCCACAATTCCTCCCAGTGACACAAATGATAGGGTCCAATGACATCAATGATGGGGCACAATTCCTCCCAGTGACACAAATGATAGGGACCAATGACATCAATGATGGGGCACAATTCCTCCCAGTGACACAAATGATAGGGACCAATGACATCAATGATGGGGCACAATTCCTCCCAGTGACACAAATGATAGGGTCCAATGACATCAATGATGGGGCACAATTCCTCCCAGTGACACAAATGATAGGGACCAATGACATCAATGATGGGGCACAATTCCTTCCAGTGACACAAATGATAAGGTCCAATGACATCAATGATGAGGCACAATTCCTCCCAGTGACACAAATCATAGGGTCCAATGACATCAATGATGGGGCACAATTCCTCCCAGTGACACAAATGATAGGGTCCAATGGCATCAATCATGGGGCACAATTCCTTCCAGTGACACAAATGATAGGGTCCAATGACATCAATGATGGGGCACAATTCCTCCCAGTGATACAAATGATAGGGACCAATGACATCAATGATGGGCCACAATTCCTCCCAGTGACACAAATGATAGGGTCCAATGACATCAATGATGGGGCACATTTCCTCCCAGTGACACAATTGATAGGGACCAATGACATCAACGATGGGGCACAATTCCTCCCAGTGACACAAATGATAAGGACCAATGACATCAATGATGGGCCACATTTCCTCCCAGTGACACAATTGATAGGGACCAATGACATCAACGATGGGGCACAATTCCTCCCAGTGACACAAATGATAAGAACCAATGACATCAATGATGGGCCACAATTCCTCCCAGTGACACAAATCATAGGGTCCAATAACATCAATGATGTGGCTGAATTCCTCCCACTGACACCAAACCATGGGGCATTATTTTTTCCCACTGATGTTGGGACCTTTTCTACTCCCACTGGCCGCAGTCTGGCCCTCATAAAGTCTGAAGGACAGTAAACTGGCCCTTTGTTTAGAAAGTTTGGAGACCCCTGTTTTAAAGGGATCCTACAGGTATGGTATATACAGTACTTAGTTTTATTGGTCCAGGCTGGAATAATGTAACTATGTAAAAATACCTATACCTGGAATTCATCTTTAAAAGTTAATGTTTACTTTCTGAAAAATCTTATTCTCTTCTATATAATGTTAAAGTGGAACTACACTGTATCTGAGCACCACAAACCAAAAACGCTATTTAATTCATTTTGAATATTCAAAACAAGCAAAGTTGAAAAATTGCTTCAATGATGTCTAATCCCGCAGGTGTGGCCGGGAACCTGGTTGCTATTCAGGCCAGCCGGATCTCCACCTTCCTCCATTTCTGGAGCATGCCGGGCGTCCTACCGTACAAAATGAGGCAGCACTGGCCCAACCCTTGGACCACCTTCTTCTCCTCCGGTATGTAAGCACAACTTCTGTAAGAGCTATAAATGTGGGCAAAGTCCTGGAGAACAGTGACCAGCAGTCATACTGCCACACTGCAGGGAATTCATGTTAAGCAGCCACAACTTATGATAGGCCGATATGGACAACTATGCCATTCTGCTGGGTGAAGAACAACTTAAACTCGCAGCGCCTAGCAGGATGTCAGGCCCCGCAGGAGCCTTCAGAACCTGGAAGACTATATATTAGACGTATAGTTAAAGTGCGTCTGTGCTTTGCCAATGTAGGGAAAAGCAAGTACTTCCAGGTATGGGAGGGGGGGGGGAATCATGTGCCTGGCTTACCTTTTTCCCACATGACAGCATTGATGTTTGGTGATTGGCTGCTCTTACATTGGGATGGGATAGAGTCCTGAGCTCTGTATGAGCGCCAACAAAGTTCAACTTAGAGCTTACACAGAGAGAAATAGAGGAGGTGTTGATGTGGGCCTTCTGTCTAAGTGACAAAGGTCCACTTATTCACATTCCCCCTCGGTAAAACTCCCATGGAAAGAATAGTTGCATTTCTTCCTGTAGTACCTAGATGAGGGTGACATCATCCTCCTTCTGCCCAGATCGCATGTTGAGTAGCCCAAATCTTGCAGAACACGATCCTGCACTGTGCTGCGATTCAGGCTACTCAGCATTCCCAGGAATCTTGCTGGAAGGATGATGATGTCACTCCCTACATTTCAAAAGTCTGAGAAACGTGAGTATATATTTTTTTTCCCCACACCCCTCAGGTAATTTTAAGCAGGGGGTTTTCGTTGGGGGGGTGAAGGGGGCATCTTGAATAAGTGGACCTTTCCCGCTGAGATAGAAGACCCACATCAACACCACCTATATTTCTCTGTGTAAGCTCTAAGTTAAACTTTGTTGGCACTCATACAGAGCTCAGGACTCTTTCCCATCTCAGTGGGACAATACTAGAGAGCAGCCAATCACCAAATCACCAAGCACCAGGGGCGGACTGACCATTTGGAAACTCAGGCACCGCCCGAGGGCCCGGGGTCAGTAGGGGGCCCCATGAGATGCCCCTGGTACCTTTTTCATAGGCTTTTTTGAGTTTGGGCAAGGACACAGGGGCCCCATGATCCCTTATTGCCCGGGGGCCCCATGAGTTGTCAGTCCGCCCCTGCCAAGCACCAATGCTGTCATGTGGGAAAAAGGTAAGCCAATCACATGGTTTCCCCCCCCCCCATACCCGGAACCTGGAAGTATATATATTTTTTTTTTCATGGAATGATGGGTCTAGAAATGGAAGGAAAGAATAAACTGCTAGTGGGCTACCATTAAAGTATAACTAAAGCCAACATTTTTTTTTAGTCTTGCATACAGTGGTAAGAGGTTAGCCCCCCTATCAGGCTTTTTTTCCTGCATGTGCCCCCATTAGACCTGGTTTACACCTATGCAGTTTGTGTTTTCTCTGCTTTGCAGTGCTTTTTGTGGTGCATTTTTTTTTTTTTGTTTACAAACGGTTTTATTTCGCAAAAGTAGACTGTAAGACAACAGTACAGTTTCAAGAGATACTTACAGCAAAAACAAGGCACTTTTGAAAAGTACAATACGGAAAAGTATATTAATATAAGAAAGGAGCAAATAGAAAGTAGAAAAGAGTAGATTGCAAGTACATGAAAATGTAGACAATTAAATAGGTTGAATGTTACATCTGTCAACAGTATATGCCAGTCAATCTTCACTTGGGATGTTGTTAATCATGCAATAAATGTCTATGTCAGGGATCCGGGTATAACCAGAGATGTGTGGACTGACACAGGGAAGTAGCAGGCTTCAGGAACACAGGCGTAGTCAGGGCTGGAGAGGTGGAATGGTCAGGCAGGCCGTTAGGTACTGTCAGGCACCGCCCGGCAGGATCTCTAGTACCCACAGAACGGGATTCCCCAGGGCGCGGAGTCTAAGCCCCAGTCTGCCTTTTCACCAGAGCCCCTGATGGTGGGGATGGACTTGGCACAGGACTGAGACCAGGTCGCGGCCCCTGAGTGCACCCAACTGTGGCAGAGGGGTCCGCCGAGGGTATGTGCCGTGGAAAAGCCTGACGTGAAGAGGCTGGCAGGCCTGGTAACAGGGACAGATCCGTGCGGGATGGATCGTCTGGGTAGCGTCAGGCGTAGTCAGGCAGGCCAGGTCAGCAACGTGCGGGCAGCGAGGTACCGGAGGAGCAGGCAGAGAATAGTCAGGGTCACAAGCCAGGTTCAGTAACTCACGGGCAGCATGGTACAGAGGATCAGGCAGAAGGATGGTCAGGCAAGCCAGGGATCAAGCAGGAGAAGTCAGCAGAGGTCAGGATCAGGCAGGGTCAGATCAGATAGTCAGCAGAACAGGAACACAGAATACCAGGTACAGGGGCTCATGGGAAACAATACACCAAGGCACTGATCACAGGCCTGGTCCTGCTTAAATACACCTCCTGCAATCAGCTTCAGCTGATGGCTGACTGCAGGAGTGAGCTTCTGGTTGCTGAGAGCACCCCGCTGGCCAGCCCTGGTACTGCAGCCCACACGGCAGGTGAGTCCCACCACCAGTGGTGCATCCATTCCTGACAGTCTATAATCCTTCCATGACTCCCATTTTTTGTCAGATAAGTGCATCTTATCCAGTAAGGTATAATCAATACGCTCCATGAGCATTACAGCATCAACTCTGTGCAAATCGGAAGTTAAGGGTGTGGACACGTTTTTTGACTCGTTTTGCATTTTTTTTGGGGGGGGGGGGGGGGGGGGTGGATTTGTGCCAACTTGTTGCTCGGCAGATTAAAAACTTAAAAGACGTCAAAAACGCACTACATGACTTTTCTGCAGCCTCTCCATTGAAGTCTAGAACCAAAATGCAATGTTTTGCGTTTCAAAAATAGCCCTGACCCGCTCCAAAAACACAGCGGCTCAAAAAAGCATAGATGTGAACGTGTCCCATAGGAAACCATGTTACATGGACTGTAGAGTGTTTCTGCAAAAAGCACAAAAAAAACGCATTGGTGTGAAACTAGGCCTTAGGCTTGGTTCACATCTGTGGAGGTGGTGCCGCTGCAGGACCCACACAATTACCGGCAGCTGCAACCACCCACACAGAGAAATGCAGGACCCGTGGGCTGGTGCTATTAATCCTAATGGCACACCACCCGCACTGGGAATCACAACCGTATTGGGAACCTCAGTTCCAGTGTGGGCTGTGATTTAAAAAATAGTTGTCCATAAACTCGATCTGCACAACCGACGTAGCTCTGAAAACTTCGTCTTAGTTCAGTAAACCACAGTGTAAAAGTTACAGTGACAGGCGCTGACGCGTTTCAGCCGGAACAGCGTCATGACTAAAGCCGTGTAGGCCGAAACGCGTCAACTGTTTGTTACTGTAACTTTTACACTGTGGGTTACGGAATGAAGACAAAGGTTTTAGAGCTACGTTGGTTGTGCAGATCAAGTTTATGGACAATTATTCTCAGCTCTGCGACTGGAGATCGGGCACCCGCTGTCTCTGCTAATGGAGGTATGTATGGGAAGTAACATCACTCTCTCTTTAGCACCACTCTCTCTTTAGCACCACTCTCTCTTTAGCACCACTCTTTGTTTAGCACCACTCTCTCTTTTTAGCTCCACTCTCTCTTTAGTTTAGCTCCACTCTCTCTTTAGCTCCACTCTCTCTTTAGCACCACTTTTTGTTTAGCACCACTCTCTCTTTAGCACCACTCTTTCTTTCTTTGTTTAGCACCACTCTCTTTTTAGCACCACCTCTCTCTTTAGCACCACTCTTTGTTTAGCACCACTCTCTCTTTAGCACCACTCTCTCTTTAGCACCACTCTTTCTTTAGCACCACTCTCTCTTTAGCACCACTCTTTGTTTAGCACCACTCTCTCTTTAGCACCACTCTTTCTTTAGCACCACTCTCTCTTTAGCACCACTCTTTCTTTAGCACCACTCTCTCTTTAGCACCACTCTTTGTTTAGCACCACTCTCTCTTTAGCACCACTCTCTCTTTAGCACCACTCTCTTTTTGGCACCACTCTTTCTTTAGCACCGCTCTCTCTCTTTTTAGCTCCACTCTCTCTTTAGCACCACTCTCTCTTTAGCACCACTCTCTCTTTAGCACCACTCTTTGTTTAGCACCACTCTCTCTTTAGCACCACTCTCTCTTTAGCACCACTCTTTTTTAGCACCACTCTTGTTTAGCACTCTCTCTTTTTAGCTCCACTCTCTCTTTGCACCACTCTCTCTTTAGCACCACTGTCTCTTTAGCACCACTCTTTCTTTAGCACCGCTCTTTCTTTAGCACCGCTGTCTCTTTAGCACCGCTCTTTCTTTAGCACCGCTCTTTCTTTAGCACCGCTCTTTCTTTAGCACCGCTCTCTCTTTAGCACCACTCTCTTTTTTCTTCAGTATTGGATTTAAAAAATAGTACAGGGACTTTTTTCCTGTGTGCCCTGGGGCACAACAGCCCATTCAAACGAATGGGCTCTCATGTCCCCTCAAATCGTGGCACGCATAGCCGCATAGGTGTGAACCTAACTTGCCCTCGAACCCCTCGTGTATTGTATTGTTACTGTATTGTCTCATGTTCTGTCCCCCAATATAATGTACAGCACTGAGGAAACCTGGCGCTATATAAATACTGTATAATAATAATAGGGAGAGCCACCCTCTCTGTCCTGTTTTCTGAGACTGAAAGTGAAAGAAAATTCACGTTTTGGATTATCTCAAGAACAGGAATAGGGGTGAAAGCTTCACTTTGGAGCGATTTCCACTCACTTCCTGTTGTGACTATGGGACACAGATGGCAAAAAAAAAAACCTGACAGGTGTTATAACCCTACCCTTACTCTAAATCTAAAATGGAAAGTTTTACTTTTTGTTCTGCTTTAAATTTAATTTGTTGCTTTGCCCTGCATAAGGCTTAGTTCACATCTATGCTTTTGATCCGTTTTATCATGCTTTATGTATTGTGTTCTGCATTTTACACCCGTGTTTTTTATTTTTATTTTATTTATTACAGGTACTTATATAGTGTTGTCAATTTAGAGCTTTACATACAGTACATTTATTTTTATTATTTATTTCAGGTACTTATATAGCGCTGTCAATTTACGCAGCACTTTACATATATATTGTACATTCACATCAGTCCCTAAACCTCAGGGGTGTACAATCTAAGGTCCCTAACCCTCAAGGGGCGTACAATCTAAGGTCCCTAACCCTCAAGGGGGTACAATCTAAGGTCCCTAACCCTCAGGGGAGTACAATCTAAGGTCCCCAACCCTCAAGGGGCGTACAATCTAAGGTCCCTAACCCTCAAGGGGCGTACAATCTAAGGTCCCTAACCCTCAAGGGGCGTACAATCTAAGGTCCCTAACCCTCAAGGGGCGTACAATCTAAGGTCCCTAAACCCTCAAGGGGCGTACAATCTAAGGTCCCTAACCCTCAAGGGGCGTACAATCTAAGGTCCCTAACCCTCAAGGGGCGTACAATCTAAGGTCCCTAACCCTCAAGGGGCGTACAATCTAAGGTCCCTAACCCTCAAGGGGCGTACAATCTAAGGTCCCTAACTCACATTCATACATACACATACTAGGACCAATTAACCCTTTGAGGACCAAGGGACGTATTTGTCCCATGTTTTTAATTGCGTGTATCATCTGATTAAGAACTTAAAACTCTTTTTTTTTTTTTGGTTTGAGTCAAAATATTAGTTCTTATCAACAAATGGATCTAGCTTTTTGCCAATTATTTCATGAAATGGCTTAGTTACAGCAATTGAAGTGTACAAACTTTAAAAACAAAAAAATTGATTCTTTTGGCGTTCCAAAATCTTATGGTCATCAAAGGGTTAACCTACCAGCATGTCTTTGGAGTGTGGGAGGAAACTAGAGTACTCAGAGAAAACACACACAGGCACAGGGAGAACATGTAAACTCCAGGCAGGTGGTGCCGTGGCTGGGATTTGATCCAACGTCGCTAGTACTTCCAGGCAGAAGTGCTGACCGTTTAGCCGCTGTGCTGCCCCCCGTGTTTGTAATGCATTTTACCGCATTTAATTTTACCGCATTTTGTATTTTTTCTCAGGTTTTTTTTTTTTGTTAAAGTGGAAATTTTTTTGATGCTTGACATAAAAAAAAAACGCAAAACACGGCAAAAATGCACTATATGCGTTTCAGCAGCTTCTCCACTGAACTCTATTGTAGCAAAACCGCTGCTTTTTGCATTTAAAAAAATTCCCCACCCTTTCCAAAAATGCAGCAGCTCAAAAACGCATTGATGTGAACATGTCCCTTAGGAAACCATGTTAAATGGACTGTAGTGCGTTCCTGCAAAAAGCAAAAAAAACGCATTGGTGTGAACCAGGGGTTAGGAAATCACAGGCTTTTGTTGATAATGATAATAATAATTCCCCTCTAGTTACACCAGATACAAACTCTTCCAGAGGAAGGCGAATAAAATGCAACTGTGGCCAAATTTGCCACATGTAGCAAGAGGGAACCTTCCTGACCCTGAACATTCGAGGATTTTTGTTTCTGAGTGCCATGTGTGTTAGTTATTTTACAACATGCTAGGAAATCTTTGTGATTTGTTATTCCTTCCCTTTTTCATGGAACAAAAGAGACAGAAACTTTCATTGATCGTTCATAAGTTTTCCCCTGGCTGATAAACTGAACTTGAAGAAAAGTATTCTGGAGGGTACACCTGTGTCTGATTGTCCACATTTACTTTCTTCTCCTCTTCAGGTGTTAATTCCAAATCAGCTCGAGTATTGTTCCTATTGGTTGTCCCGGGTCACCTGGTCTTCCTGTACACCATCCATTTGTTACAAGGAGGTCACACTTCGCTCAACGCACTCTTTATCACCTTCTACTTGACCGCTGCTCTCTTACAGGTAATGCTGGGACCACCGTAGTGTAGTAGTAATATTGAATTGCTCTCACCTGGACAAACATAATATAGCATTTTGCATGCAGATTTTTGTGCTTCTTTTGCTTGGTGATTACTGTTCAGTGACTTTGAACAGGATTGGAAGTGGTGGAATCAGCCTGTTCTAGTCATATCATTTCTCCAGAGCGATTGTAGTTACATAGGTGAATGATGGATCGTTTTAACCACCTCCCATCCGGCCGTTGTATATAAATGGCCGGACGGTGGCAGTGCAGGGTCGGGTGGCCCGTTTATAAACGGCCTCCCCGCCCCCTGCTTGTGCGCGCTCCCTGGGAGCATGCAGCAATGCCGGTGCCCGCTGTGTCCTCCGGACACAGTGGAACACTGATTGTTGTACGGGACCTCTGTGCGAGGTCCCGATCATGTGATCACTGATTGGCCACTTCTGACATCATTGCTTACTACGTGTGAAATCTGTGAATGATCACAGAGGTCACATGGTACAGGGCTATTCACAACAGTCTTGTCCCATGTGACAAGCTGTGACCAATCACAGCTCATACAGTAGTTCTCAATGGCTGCAAGAATGCAGCCAGAGAGAAGGAGAAATTATTGCTTTTACAGCCTTTATAGGTGTAAAAGCAATCAGTGTAAAAAAAAAAAAAAAATCTTCATCACCCCCCACAAGTAGTACAGTGTCACCATGGTGCACAAGTTGTGCTGCGCATGGTGAATGGTCCTGCAGTCTTCAGGAACCTGTCATGTGTCCCAGAAGACTGCGCGGGGAGCAGAAGTTGGAGCAGGTACCTGTCAAAATCGGGTACCCGCTCCCCTCCCATTCCCAGCTCTTTAACCACTTCCTGTCTGGCCGTTGTATATAAACAGCCAGACAGTGGCAGTGCAGGGTCAGGTGGCCGTTTATAAACGGCCTCCCCACCCCCTGCTTGTGCGCGCTCCCTGGGAGCGCGCAGCACTGCGATCCCTGCTGTGTCCTCTGGACACAGTGGAACACTGATCATCGGACGGGACCTCTATACAAGGTTCCGAGCATGTGATCACTGATTGGCCATTCAGTGATTACATGCAGAGTAGTAGGCAAGATGTCACTTCTGACATCATTGCTTACTACATGTGAAATCTGTGAATGATCACAGAGGTCACATGGTACAAGGCTATTCACAACAGCCTTGTACCATGTGACAAGCTGTGACCAATCACAGCTCACACAGTAGTTCTCAATGGCTGCAAGAATGCAGCCAGAGAGAAGGAGAAATTATTGCTTTTACAGCCTTTATGGGTGTAAAAGCAATCAGTGTAAAAATATAAAAACAATCTTCATCACCCCCCACCATGGTGACACTGTACTGCTAGGGTGACAGTATGTAAAAAATAAAAAAAATAAAAATAAATAATATAAAAAAATTTAAAATTTTTTAAAAAATTATAATTTTGGTTATAAACTAATTTGGGTTATTTTTTTTTACTAAAAAGATAACAAAATACATTTTGGCCAAGATTTATGATGAAATACTATTTATTTGCAAAATTTTATAAGAAAAACACTTTTTTTCAAACTTTTTGGACTTTTTAATTTACATAGGAAAAAAAATAAAAATCCCAGTGATGAATAAATACCACCAAACTAAAGTTTTATCTGTCTCAAAAAAATGCTAAAAAATTCATATGGGTACAGTGTTGCATGACTGCGCAAGTGTCATTCAAAGTGTGATAGCGCTGAAAGCTGAAAATTGGCCTGGACTGGAAGGGGGTGAAAGTGTCCGTACTGGAAAGGGGGTGAAAGTGTCCGGACTGGAAGGGGGGGAAAGTGTCCGGACTGGAAGGGGGGAAAGCGTCCGGACTGGAAGGGGGTGAAAGCATCCAGACTGGAAGGGGGGTGAAAGCATCCAGACTGGAAGGGGGTGAAAGTGTCCGGACTGGAAGGGGGTGAAAGTGTCTGGACTGGAAGGGGGGGAAAGTGTCCGGACTGGAAGGGGGGGAAAGCATCCGGACTGGAAGGGGGGGTAAAAGTGTCCGGACTGGAAGGGGGTGAAAGTGTCCGGACTGGAAGGGGAAAAAGTGTCCGGACTGGAAGGGGGAGAAAGTGTCCGGACTGGAAGGGGGTGAAAGTGTCCGGACTGGAAGAGGGAGAAAGTGTCCGGACTGGAGGGTGAAAGTGGGGGTGAAAGTGTCCGGACTGGAAGGGGGTAAAAGCTTCCGGACTGGAAGGGGGTGAAAGTGTCCGGACTGGAAGGGGGTGAAAGTGTCCGGACTGGAAGGGGAAAAAGTGTCCGGACTGGAAGGGGGTGAAAGTGTCCGGACTGGAAGGGGGGAAAAAGTGTCCGGACTGGAAGGGGGAGAAAGTGTCCGGACTGGAAGGGGGAGAAAGTGTCCGGACTGGAAGGGGGTAAAAGCTTCCGGACTGGAAGGGGGTGAAAGCTTCCGGACTGGAAGGGGGTGAAAGTGTCCGGACTGGAAGTGGTTAAACGGCTTTTTCTGTTGATTCAGAAGTTGTGTTCATGATCTGGGCACAGGTTCCTTTTAAATTTCACTTCCCTCGAACTCAACATTGTTTTCTTATTCCAGGTCTGCATCTTGCTGTACGTAGCTGATCTCATTGTGCGGTTCATGTGGCGGAAAGGACTGGACCCAGACAATTTCTCTATCCCATACCTCACTGCCCTTGGCGACCTGTTGGGTACCGGTTTCCTCGCCCTCTGCTTCCGCTTGGTCTGGCTTCTCACTGGTACAGAGGAGGCAGAGCTGGGCAATTAGACTGACTCCTTCATTTTGCTGCCCGTTTTTGCACTGAAGAAGAACATTAGCAGAAGATCCAGGGAATTTTCTTACCAGCCGCCAACACCAAATAGGACTTGGAATTAGCAATATTTATCAGCCATACGAACAACACTGCACCGGATTTATAATAGAAAAAATGTGTTTTTTATTTGTATATAAATCTGATGCTGTTTATTTACAATAGAATAAATTTTACTGAAAAGATTGTCTTCAACAATGCATTTATCTTCTAGTAGAGGGGGTGTCTTGGGGGCAGGGGCGGACTGACGACTCATGGGGCCCCCGGGCAATAGGGGATCATGGGGCTCCTGTGTCCTTGCCCAAACTCAAAAAAGCCTATGAAAAAGGTACCAGGGGCATCTCATGGGGCCCCCTACTGACCCCGGGCCCTCGGGCAGTGCCCGAGTTTCCAAATGGTCACTCCGTCCCTGCTTGGGGGCTATTTACAAACCATTTATGCACCTAAATGAAGTTACATGTATTTTTTGTAATAGATTAATTTTTGTATCATCAGCTCCATCTAGTGGCCAGAACGGGGTATATTTTCTTATGGAGATATTTCAGAAAAAACTATACGGCATTTTGGACACTAGATGGAGCTGATGATGCAGGAATTAATGTATGACAGAAAACATGGTGACATTTCATCCAGTTTGCAGGAATGCGTTTGACATTCATACGACAAATGTTTTATAAATAGACCCCCTTGTGTCTACAGCAGGTGTTACAACCACCAGCACTTAATGCCTTTTCTGCTAGCACATGCACACACCTCCCTGACGAGAGCATGCTGGTGGCTAAAGACACTTGAGGCTGTAAAGCCCACTCCTCCATCTACCACAATTCCGAGCTCTTTCCCCTTTTCACAGTTGCTGGATCTACAGGTATTACATCTTCCCATTTTCCTGGCTTCTCAGCAAACACGGGCAGCACATTGGCTAAATGGTCAGCACTTCCGCCTGACAGTATTAGGGTCGGTGGTTCGAATCCCAACCATGGCATCGCCTCCCTGAAGTTTGCATGTTCTCTCTGTGCCTGTGTGGGTTTTCTCCCACCCTCCAAAGACATGCTGGTAGGTGAATTGGATCCTGTCAAAATTGGCCCTAGTATGTTTATGTATGAATGTGAGTTAGGGACCTTAGATTGTACGCCCCTTGAGGGTTAGGGACTGATGTGAATGTACAATATATATGTACAGCGCTGCGTAAATTGATGGCGCTGTATAAGTACCTGTAATAAATCATATTAAACATCACAGCTCCACTTCACACTGCTGCCAGCTCTGCACCTCCTAGTCCACACTCTCTCCAAAGTCTTCAACACATGCCTGTCCTTACTAGTTGGAGCTCCATTGTACATTGCTGATGGCTCTGCACCTCCTAGTCCACAGTCTCTGCAAAGTCTTCAACACATGCCTGCCCTTACTTGTGGGAGCTCCATTGTACACTGCTGATGGCTCTGTACCTCCTAGTCCACAGTCTCTCCAGAGTCTTCGACACATGCCTGCCCTTACTGGTTGGAGCTCCAATGCACACTGCTGATGGCTCTGCACCTCCTAGTCCAGAGTCTTCGACACATGCCTGCCCTTACTGGTTGGAGCTCCATTGCACACTGCTGATGGCTCTGCACCTCCTAGTCCACAGTCTCTCTCCAGAGTCTCCAAGACATCTCCCTGCCCTTACTGGTTGGAGTTCCATTGCACACTGCTGATGGCTCTGCACCTCCTAGTCCACAGTCTCTCCAGAGTCTTTGACACATGCCTGCCCTTACTGGTTGGAGCTCCATTGCACACTGCTGATGGCTCTGCACCTCCTAGTCCACAGTCTCTCCAGAGTCTTTGACACATGCCTGCCCTTACTGGTCAGAGTTCCATTGTACACTGCTGATGGCTCTGCACCTCCTAGTCCACAGTCTCTCCACAGTCTCCAACACATGCCTGCCCTTACTGGTGGGAGCTCCATTGTACACTGCTGATGGCTCTGCACCTCCTAGTCCACAGTCTCCAACACATGCCTGCCCTTACTGGTCAGAGCTCCATTGCACACTGCTGATGGCTCTGTACCTCCCAGTCCACACTTTCTACAACTACAGCACTTTAGCTGAGTCACCCATATTAAAAATCTTCTAGTAGGATCTGTCATTAAGGAATGTGTCCTGGGATTAGAACATGAAAAATTGGTCAGAGAGTGTCATTTTTTGCTGTCACAATAAAATAAGAAACTTCCTCAGCACAACTTATTATAGTGAAAATCGTGTCCTTTACTCACATAAAGCACCAGGCATCACAGGAACCTTTATCTCTGCCTTGAAAAAGGTATCCTGCCAGATCCCGAAACATCGGCTTGTGATGTCTGTTGCTATAGTTGAGTAAAGGACAAGATTATCACTATATCAAGGTGAAGACTCTTTTTTTTTTTTTTTTTTGTTATTCAATGAAGGAGCCATTCACCAATTTACTACAGCACCCTGCACAAACTCTGGGTGAGCCTGTATTGAGTGCAACGGATACAGTACAACATTTTCTGCCCAAATACCAAATTTATAATTGACTTTCCCTGACAAACATGAAAACCAGAATTATTTGTTAGTCTACAATTCACTTTTGTTTCCTAAAGTGTAGATAGATATTGATGTAACTATGGCATCCTCAGCATCTTTGTTACAAGGTCTTCTGCTGTACTTGTAGTAGCACCCTCTGCTGGCTGAATGCATGAAGCACAGCCTAGCCAAGCTGGAGGACCAGCAAGGGGTGCACGTTATCAAAAATTCCTCATGGCTGCCAGAAGTGATGTGCAGGGGAGGTACAGAAGCCGCTTGAACAGTCTGACTATATATTTCATGTTTACAATTTAAAATAAATGTAATTTATTTAAAGATCTACCTATATATACTGCAGAGCTCAAAGGTGCTGAATAGCTAAACTTCCAAACTCAAGAATAGACTTTACTCTGGCATTCATTATAAAGTAATTTATTTATGAAATTTACACATAGAAAACAGATACAAATTATAAAAGGATCAAATCAAATCAGTGTTTTCCAAGCCTGGTCCCAAGGGGCCAGCAACAGGCAATATTTCCTGGTAGGGGGACAGGCAGGGGCGGACTGACCAATTGGAAACTCGGGCACTGCCCGAGGGCCCGGGGTCAGTAGGGGGCCCCATGAGATGCCCCTGGTACCTTTTTCATAGGCTTTTTTGAGTTTGGGCAAGGACACAGGGGCCCCATGATCCCCTATTGCCCGGGGGCCCCATGAGTTGTCAGTCCGCCCCTGGGGACAGGTGTACTAATCAGAAGTACCGAGTACTGGTGTCCAACGCTGGCCATTCATTATACAATTTTCTGTCCAATTTTCTTTAGATTTACCTTCAACTATGTAGTGCAAGAGCCTGCCTAATTCAATACAATTGAAAGTGTTGTTAGTTTTGACCTCCTATTATATGGTTTTTGGTAAATCTAAACCAAAAATCTTAAGAAAATTGTATAATGTATGGCCAGCCTAAGCATCTGCTTACAAGCAATATTAAGGTAAAACAGGAGGTGACATATTGCCTGTGAACCTCCCTCTGAAGAATGATCCCTTGCGGATTGCTGTTCCAAGCTGTGGCAAGGGCTACGGCACATGAGAACGACCCCCTACCAGGGGCGGACTGACAACTCATGGGACCCCCGGGCAATAGGGGATCATGGGGCCCCTGTGTCCTTGCCCAAACTCAAAAAAGCCTATGAAAAGGTACCAGGGGCATCTCATGGGGCCCCCTACTGACCCTGGGCCCTCAGGCAGTGCCCGAGTTTCCAAATAGTCAGTCCACCCCTGCCCCCTACTGGTCTGATCAACAGTTTAAATAAAGAAAAAAGAACAATAAAGCGGCCACCATGTCTAAGAATTGATAAACTGCAAATCATAACATTTTTATTTTTCGGTTTCAATACAACTTTATACTTTTTATAGTGTATGGCCAGCCTAGTGCCTGGTCATAAGGGTGCGATTTCAGGTGCAATTTGGGAATTGAGATCGCACCTGAAATCACATCTAATGAATGTCGGTGTCTTAACATGCGATTGGCTGCAGCGCGATTTCTAAAGCAGTTCTTGCATTACTTTTTCTGCAGTTTTGTTGCGATTTCACATACATAGAATATAATGGAGATCGCGCTGCAAATTGCAAGAAATCATTGAAAATCTTCACAAGTAGCAATAAAGTCCTCACAAATCGCACACAAATTGCGCGATTTTAAATCACAGCGGTGTGACCGGTGACTTCTACTATGACATTGTGTGATCATGTGCTTTCCATCCGGTTTCCATTAGTAAGAAAAATATAAAAACGATAAGATTCCTTCTTTCCACGCTTCCTCTCCCTTAGGTGCTGAGCTGCATGTCCTCTGAGGGCCCATTCATACTTGTGCATTGTGGCACAAGTGGGTGTTCACATCTGTGCGGCCGGGCTGCGTTTTGCGAGGACACGAGAGCCCATTCATTTGGACTCCCGTGCCCCGTGACACGCAGGGAAGAAGTCCCTTCACTTCTTCCAAAAATGCAGCTCTCATGGGAACCTCGGTTTCCAGTATAGTTGCGTTTTCCAGTGCGGGTGTCATGCCATTAGAACTAATGGCACCCACCCGCGGGTCCGCATTCCTCTGTGCGGGTGGTGCGGCTGAACGGATTTTCGTGCGGATCCACAGCGGCACCACCCGCACAGATGTGAACCTTGTGGACATTACCACAATGCATGGCATCACATATGTGCCATTCACTGGGAATGGCGCCCCAGTATACAATGTATCACAATGCATATACTGTGTGTTGTAGTGCGCTGCATTAATAAAAAGGGTCATGCACATTTTTTCCTAATGAATGGGCTGCATTAATGCAACGCATGTCAACAAGTGCCATAATATGTGATCATTCATGTGCATTAATGCACTGAAACACAATGCATAAATGTGAATGGGCCTGGAATATTCAGAAGTGCCTA